GTCTACGATACAAAAACACTGAAACAAGTACAAAACTAAAAAGAACAAAAAACATTTAATAACCGAAATCTAAAGTCACACATTTATCAATCGACCTACAAAGAATAAAATGAGTTGAACCCGACTATTGTTGTTTGTCCCTAAAAAATAAACTGGGGGGAAATATTTGCAATCGGAAAAAGTCATATTGACCTGTTTCGGGCAGTAGGTGGCCAGTAGTGGCCTCTCCAACCAAATGCAGCTGCCTGGGCAGGCTCATAGCATGACTGGGGCACTGAATTGTCACTGGTTGGCGTGCAGGCTGATCTCCCCGGGCTCTTCATCCAACCAGCTCTGCTCACCAAACTTGTCCTCGAGAGCAGGGGAGATCAGACTACACTGCAAGAGGGACATGGCCCCTCCCACTGTTCTAGCAAAGTGAGACAGACGCAGCTTTGTGAACTCAGTTTTCCTTACAAAGTGTTTCTTCGAAGTTTAGAGGAGAGCTCAGCTGCTACTGCTCCTCAGGGTTTGTGTGGGACCTCTGATGTCTGGAAACATGAGATTTCCGTGTAAAGCTTTTCCCGCACTCGGGGCAGAAATACGGCTTCTCCCCCGAGTGCATCTTCTGATGCCTGTTAAGATGGGCCTGCGTCAAAAAACCTTTCCCGCAATCGGGGCAGGCGAACGACTTCTCGCCCTTGTGAATTTTCCAGTGGCTGTTAAGATGGTACTTCTCTTTGAAGCATTTCCCACACTCGGTGCAGCCATACGGCTTCTCGCTCGTGTGAGTCTTCAGGTGGGTTTGAAGGTGGGACTTCTCTTTGAAACATTTCCCGCACTCGGAGCAGAAATGCGGCTTCAGCCCAGTGTGAGATCTTTGATGTCTGACTAGGTGCAATTTTCGCGGGTAACTTTTCCCGCACTCGGGGCAGGAATACGGCTTGTCGGGCAAGTGGGATCGTCGATGCGCGATCAGTTCATATTTTACCGGGAAACATTTCCCGCACTCGGGGCAGGAATGCGGCTTGTCCCCCGTGTGCATTCTCTGATGCCTGAGAAGCTGCGATGTCTGCGAATAGGATTTCCCACACTCGGAGCAGGAGTACGGCTTCTCCCCCGTGTGAGTCCTTTGATGTCGGACAACGAGCGACTTTGTTGCAAAACGTTTCCCGCAGTCAGGGCAGGGGTGCAGCTTCTCCCCCGTGTATCTCTTAAATCCCGGGCCAGAAAATGTCTTCTTCCCCTGAATTCCGGCGCCTTCCCCCACGGTAGGAGGTTGCTCGGCCTCAGGGGGATTCCACGGTCCGTCCACACCGGGAAGTCCTCCAAAGTCACTTGTGATGTCCTTGTCTGTAGGTTCACAACTTGGAGATGACGGGAGATGGTCCGGTGAGAGTTTCTTGACGGCGGGTCCTGGAAAAATGCAAAAACAAAATGATTTTGGATGACCGACCACTCCATGGAACCAACCAACCATAGAAGACGTCACCGTAGGCCTAGGCTTCTGATGAGAAGCATCACTGGAGGGACCTCGGAGAAGAACATTCTCCAGGAAAGGGAAGTGTCTCAGTCCCTCTCTTAGCGCTTCTCTTCCGTCCCAACAAGACTGTTAATAAAGCTTTATTTGAAGGCTCAGTTATGGGTCTGCTGCAAGAAGAAGAGGAACCCACCTAAGAAAGGACCAGAATGGAACACAACCTAACCCTCGATGTCCTACTAACCAGCGACGCATCACCGGCCCCAGTCAAACGTTGGCCAACATCCTTGACTGAATATGGCCAAGACTGAGGAGCTTCCTGGCTGCCAGATGAAAGGAGACGTGCCATTGGTTGATAGGATACCGGAATCTGTCCTAACAGTCAATGACGTAGCAGGGCGGAGTCTAATGGGGAAGCTGAGGGACTAGTTCCTCATCAGGTCCACCTGCTTTGTGATTGACAGCAGGAGACTAATTCCATAGGATTTCTTTGGTGGAAGGTCTCCCATTAATACCCATATCAGAGCCTAATCAAGGATAAGGGTCTGGTATCAGAGGGGGGCCCCATGTTGTGAAGACTCCCCGGGGGCGCCATTCAGCTGCCAGTCGGGAGATTCCTCAGCCGGCAGCTGAATGTGAACAAATGTTGACTGAGTATGGCCAAGACTGAGGCATTCCAAGGCTGACAGCTGAATGAAGACATGGCATTGGTTACTAGGATGACGGTGGACATCCTAACCATGATGTAGCAGGGCGGAGTCTAACGGGGAAGCTGAGGGACTAGTTCCTCATCAGGTCCACCTGCTTTGTGATTGACAGCAGGAGGTGGATTCCATAGGATTGTTTTGGTGGAAGGTCTCCCGTTAATACCCATATCAGACCCTAATCAAGCATAAGGGTCTGGTATCAGCGGGGGGCCCCATGTCCCTCCCCCCCCAAATTGAACTTTTGCTAGTGTAGATCATGCAGATGAGCCACTTCACAGGGAGGATTGTGTGCTGGAAGGAGGAGGAACCAACCTAAGAAAAGCTCAATCTGGGTTCTCATATCTGAGCTACGGGAACTAGGAGTGAAACCCAACCTCATACAGCCAGCTGAACCTCCAGGACGGGTATCAGTACAGGGAGGTGACCATTATCAACCTCTTATTGGCTGATATCCCTTAGCTCCGCCCTACTCTGGACTAATCAGTGTGCAGGAACAGATCAGAGATAACAGAAGACTAGATTATGACCCACCTGTGCCGATCTCTGTGGGAGTGTCCTCCTCTTTGATTGTCCTGATCACTCCGTCGTCCTCTATGAATATCCTCATCACTTCAACCTCCTCCGTATATTGCTGATCGTTTCCCACATACGTCTCCTCTTCTTCCTCTTCTTCATCCGCCTCAACTTTCACGGCAATCACATCTTCACCCTAAACCAACAGAAGGGCAGAAGATCTCATCTCGTCGAGTATACGCATCATCTCCACATCTCAGAGCGTTCAGCGACTTGTGGAACCCTTAACGTCACCTACCTGATCCTGGTGGGGGACGGTGAGATCTTCCTGTTTGGGACCCCGGGAATACAGAGGTCGGGGACATCTCTCTGGTGACTCCATCATGTCATCCTTGTAGAGATCCTGGTGTCCATCTGAAAGGTCCTTCATCACGCCATACTCCTCATCCTCCTCTTTATACTCTTCTTTAATGATGATTTTATACTCCCCGAGGGTTCCATTCTGGAATTATAATAAAACAATTGATTGTAACAAACACGCTTGTGTATCAATCATAACCATCAATAATTGTTCATCACCTACCTGACCACGGTGGGGGATGGTGAGATCTTCTTGCCTGGAATCCCGAGGACGGGGACATCTCTCTGGTGGGTTTCTGTTATTGGGTGGCTCCATCATGTCCTTCTCTGCCTCTGAAGAGTCCCCCATCACACCATATTCCACGTCCTCAAAGATCTTCTGAGTGACTTCTAGAACCTTTGTTGGGGTGGAGGGACTGTGATGGTCAGATGGTCACCAGACTTCTCAGGAGGATAACTCTGTTGGGAAACACCCACAGTAATATCAGATGACATTGCCAAAACCCTTCTCACCGTTACCAATCGGGATTGGGCTTGACTAAATTTGGAGAGCAGACCTAATACCAGGATTTCGGAGACCCTTGAGGGACATGAGATCCTTAAACAACTGGGTTGAACTGCTCCCTACTGAGGAGAAAATAAATTGTAGGCCGGGTATAGAGGTCATAACCCTTCCTCCATCCAACGTGCTCAGTTTGTAGGAAGCGGTACCAAGAGCAAAGGAGTAAAGGCTCTCACAGGAAAGAGGGACACTCAGGCCTTGGACCATAGGTCTGCCCTCCTACATCCAACGTGCTCAGTTTGTAGGAAGCAGTACCAAGAGCAAAGGAGTAAAGGCTCTCACAGGAAAGGGGGACACTTAGGCCTTGGACCATAAGTATGAACAGAGGTCTGAGGAACTCACCTAGAAGTAGGTAGAAGGATCCTACATGATGACATAGAGAGTATGTCTTCTGGACCAAAGCCTTGGCCAAGAGATCACTATGGACAGCTCGGACAACTTCTAGGCCATGAAGAGCAATCGCCCACTGGTGAACCGTGGCCAGACCTAAGGATAGCAAGGCAATACCCACAATGAGATGAAGAGGAGAGACCATTTTTGGTAAGAAAGAAGGTCTAGGCCTCAGAATTACCTTATCCTTCTGAAGGGTGAATGGGTGATGCCATGACGAAGGCCACCTCAAAGAATGTGAAAATTGCCCTAATCAGCTCAAAAGGAGGAACGGCATTACTAAGTTCAAGTCCTATGGGGGCAGAAGGTAGGCCTTCTAAGTCCGATGATGCTCCTCCCGAAGAGTGGACTTATGAGCCTTCAACATCGTAGGGTTGACAGAAACCGCAATGTCCCCATCCCTCAGGACCGGGGCTACCACAACCATACCGTAGCCAACGACGGAGAAGAAGGGTGGAAGATCGGACCTTGAGACAGAAGATTGGAGTGATCTACACAACGAGGCGTCCTTCTCTCTCGCTCTCCAAAGAGAAACGTCTCTCCTAACCCCGATTGGTGAAGCGCTGGACTTACCTACTACATAAAGGAGGCCCCCGACCTTCTGCAATAATAATTCGGGGTGAAGATCTGTGGTAATCGTGTGAATCTTTCCCGATCCTTACCATCAACCTCCACACGTCGATCTTCACCACGCGACCAGGTCCGGAGCCAAGAGCTTTGCTGCTATTGGAAGCCGTACGCGAGGTGGCCTCCAGCCCGTAGGAATGGATGGGGCCCTATGTTCTGGATGGAGGGGGCCCAGAGGGGACACTTTGAGAAGTCACACATTGAAGATCAATGATTTCGGGGGTAAGTATTGGACCGGGTGGGATGTACCAAAGGGGCAATTGTCCTCTAGACCCCCCCATCCCCCGCTCTCAACAAAAGTAGTAGAACCGGTTATTATAAAGGTGAAAAGGTCATCGGTGGAAAAGCGACACGTCCCCAAAATGAAGACAACGTCCAACCCAGAAGACAAGGAAATGTTCTGACCCTGAAGGGGTTTCCACACTACATAGGCGTGCAATGGAATCTTCCGGAGATAAAAGAGGTCACGGTGACTATGGAGGATGGACATGACGGGGGGGAGGGGTTACTGGGTGTATATATAAAATAATATCTTATTACCTCCTCTGCTTTCAGTTCCAGCAATGTCTCCTCTCTACTTCCTCCCAAATCACCTCTCACCTGGAACTTCCTATTTATACTGTTACATCACTTCCTGTCCGTTTTCCATAGAGACTTCCTGTCTGGGTATAGGTGAGATCGCCACCTGGTGGAGCTCAGAGGAACTGCAGCCCCCGAGAGACCTCTCGTAGTGTGACCACGACCACCTTGTGCTGTATATACACCGGTCAGCCATAACATTATGACCACTGAGAGATGACGTGTGTAACATTGATGATCTGGTTACAATGGCACCTGGAAGTGGGGGGGGATATATTACAATGACACCTGGAAGTGGGGGGATATATTACAATGACACCATCTCAGCAGGATAATGCGCCGGGCCACACGGCACACATGGTGGAAGAATGGTCTGAGGAACAACAACAAGCAGTCTGAGGTGATGACTCCGCCTCCAAATCTCCGTCCAATGGATCATCTGTGGGATGTTCTGGAAGAACAAGTCCGATCCATGGAGGCCGATCACCTCACAACTTAAAGGATCTGCTACTGACGGCTCGGTGCCGGATACCACAGCACACCCTCAGAGGTCTAGTGGGGTCCATGTCTGGACGAGTCAGGAGAAGGCGGACCTACTCAATATTAGGCGGGTGGTCAGAATGTTATGGATGATGGGTGGATATCGTTACCATGGGGAAGATTTTTATTTTGTGTGCTTAGCATACGCACGTGTGGCGCTCACCCCCGAAGGAGCCGCTGGATAAGAACTTGGGTACTTCTACTTGGTCAGCCAGCCACCGGCCCCTTTCTCAGCTCCAGCAACACCGACACTCCGGAACGGATCAGGATCGGGTCGGGGGGTCTTTGTAGTATTTATTGCTCAGTAGTAACCAATCACCCTGCTCAGGGATTGGTCAGAGTCAGATTAATGGTCACAGTCTGAGGATGGATCCTCCCTCACTGTATGCTGAGGGCCCAACCCAGCAACAGGGGGAAGCAATCAATCCACCAGACTCAGGAAATCCAGCAGAACTCAGATCAGCATCCAGATATAGAACTAACTTTAGTAGCAACATAGCAGAGGGCGCCACACGTGGTAATGGGGTGGAGCACATTGCAAACATATAGTTCTTCTTCAGCTCTCCTTCAACTACATTGTCCATTAATTACAGTAAAGTCCAGAAACATTCAATCTCAGGTGAGGTTCTTTCCTCAAGATGTTCTGAAATAGGAGCCTGGACTTTTCGGAGGGTGAAGGTTGGATCAGTACAGCCCCAAAAATACAATGGACCTTGAACATCAAGTTCGGTCTCAATCTCTTCTAGATCTTTCTCTTGGTTGCCTTCAAAATCACAGACTGTGCTGGCTGGACTCTTACAGAACCTCCTTGCCAATTGAGGTTCTGGTGGCATCTCGATCTTTATCTTCCAAGGCAGGAGGAACATAGGAAGGTCCCTTTGTATGACTCACCGCATCTCCACATGTAGGGGGACAGTCACAGCTCGTATCCTCTTGTCTCTTTAGAGGTTCCTCCTGCTTCCTTTCATGGCTAGGCCCAAAGCCTAGGAGAGACTGACTACTGATGCGACAGTCACACGGGGCCCAGGAGAAAAGAGACCGAACAGGAAGTGTCTCGGATATTTAGTTGTTCATCATGCAGGAGCAAGCACCAGCAGTTTCCTCAGGCCCGCTGACTGGCCAGGCTGGCAAATACCCATAACGGGGAATGATACGTCTCCTGCACGCCCTGCTTGGGCCAGCTCAAAGTGTCTGAGAAAATGCTTTGAGGATCACTCCTGTTGAGGTCCAGACCGGTGGACTACAGCCCACTGCTGGCTACAGCTTGTAAGCCCCAGAGCATTAGAAAGAAGCATTAGAAGGAGTCCACATGGGAGGCCAATAGGTTGCCATCAGCACCAGGTGACCTTCAAGCAATGTATAGAGCAGGCATGTAGGAAGCATTCAAGGCACCTTTCTTAAAGCCCCTCCAGCACCCTTAGGCTCCAGTCTAGAAGTGCTTTAGGGAGACTTTAGCTTGCTTCAGCACTGCTTGAAACGTCCTCAAACACCTAACTCTGCTATGGTAGCATGGTAGAATATACACTTTCTCCAGAACTTGGTCAGCTTACTGAAGTCCTTGAGTAGTCAAAATTTGCAGAAGGTCCATCTCTCAAGTCCTAGGAGTCCCACGTGGAGAAGCAGTCCATGTTCTGCTCATCATCGCCTCACTCATGTGAAGGAACTTCTCCTCTGGGGATCCAGGATTGTCACAATCAACCCAATAAGTGACCCATCTACACATTGGTCAGCATGGAGACAACCCAACAGGGAAACGCGGAGCGAAGCTTGAGTGAGAACCTTTCCCTTACTCAAGTCACTGATTGAGACGCCTTGGTCTAGCATGATATCACCAACTGGGGTAGCTTTAGTAAAGTGTGGGGTCAATTATTGTATGTTCTCACTCCAGTCCACCCCCGGGCTTAGCCTGGAGGTGCTGACTAGGCCTCAAGCCTGGAGGAGGTCGTGTGTGGACCCTGGAACTAAGTGAGGAGAACCAGGGAAGCTTGTTGACTACTGAAAGTGCCTGGCGCTGATATGGACCTCCCGGGCTAGACTGGTGTCTCAACTATGGAAGATCTCATGCCTATCCCTGTGTCAGCCTGAGCTCCTGATGATCTGCACTGTGGAGGTCTGAGGGGATTGGGGAGTCTGTCCTATTTTTGCCATGGATGTCCCAAGCCCTATGCCCTCTCCCAATTGATGTTCAGCAATAAAGCACCCAACTTTCTTGATCACGCGTCCCTTCACTGGCTATGGATCTGCCCGAGAGTCAAATTCTGCCCTTTGGGGGGTCCACCTCAGTCCCTTTAAGTCGATTACAGTGGCAGGGAAGGTGAACCAGGGCGTATGAGATATGCCCAAAGAACTTGACGCTTTATATGGGACGTACCCGGTATGTCCAAGGTCCTTATCTGGTTAAAATATATACTGTACACCCAGCCATGAGGAAGGGATCACCGAGTAGCCGCTCCGTGCCGGGTTCCATGGTGTCAGCTCCACGTACGGCACCTGATGAAGAGTCCCACCTGCGTTGAGGAACATTGGAGGTCAGTATGAAGGTTCAGTGCCATCATTCGGACGTGGTAACGGCATGGATTGATGACTTGGCGTTGGGTTAAGGGGTTCGGTTTGCCAAAAGAGATCTACAAGAAGGGGAACGTCGGCTCCTTCAACCACCACCTACCTACTGGAGCGCGAGTATAAAACTGAAAACATTACAAATCCGAAGGCACAACTTTATTAATCAATTTACGTAATAATCCCTCCTGGGGTCTTCTCCAAAAAACTTCCCCTCGTGACCTAGCTAGCTCACCTTCCACCTCGATTTTGATCCCTTGAAGGTTCCCCTGAAGAGCAGGAGAGACAAGACTACACTGCTAGGGGGACTCAACCAGCAGTGACACCCCTCCCCCTCTCTCCTAGAAGAGGAGGCCAGACACAACCTTGAAGTCTTTATAAAGAAGATCCGAGGAGAGCTCAGCCACACGTTTTCCAAGGTGTGCTTCTCCCCAGTGTCAGATCTCTGATGAGTCATATAGAAGACTCCCCCTCTTTCCTAGCACTCCTGTACTTTGGACACCAGAACACCTTGGGACTTGTGTGTTTTCTGATGTTTGGTAACATGGGAGCTCTGTGAGAAACTTTTCCCACACTCAGGGCAGGAATAGGGCCTCTCGCCTGTGTGGCACCTCTGATGTCCATAAAGATGGGCCTTCTGTGCAAAACGTTTCCCACACTCAGGGCAGGAATACGGCTTCTCGCCGGTGTGAGACCTTTGATGTATGTAAAGTTTGGACTTCTCCGAAAAACGTTTCCCGCAGTCGGAGCAGGAGTACGGCTTCTCCCCCGTGTGAGTTTTCTGATGAGTGTAAAGATTAGACTCATTTAAAAAACGTTTCCCGCACTCAGGGCAGGGATAGGGCTTCTCTCCAGTGTGAGATAATTGATGTCTGACTAGTTGTGCTTTTCGTGGATAACATTTCCCACACTCAGGGCAGGAAAACGGCTTCTCGCCCGTGTGAGTCTTCTGATGTCTGTAGAGATGGGACTTCTCTGAAAAACATTTCCCACACTCAGAGCAGGAATATGGCTTCTCGCCCGTGTGAGTCTTCTGATGTCTGTAGAGATGGGATTCAGTTATAAAACACTTTCCACACACATGGCAGGGATATGGCATCACCCCTGTGTGACATATTTGATGTCTGACTAGTTGGGATTTTCGGGGATAACTTTTCCCACACTCAAGGCAGGAAAATGGTCTTTCCCCTGTGTGAGATCTTCGGTGTGCCACTAGTTCATATTTTACAGGATAACATTTCCCGCACTCAGGGCAGGAATACGGCTTCTCTCCTGTGTGTGACCTTTGATGTCTGAGAAGTTGTGATGTTTGTGAATAAGATTTCCCGCACTGAGAGCAGGAATACGGCTTTTCACCGGTGTGAGATCTCTGATGTCTGACAACTAGCGATCTGGTTGAAAAACCTTTCCCGCAGTCAGGGCAGGAATGTGGCTTCTCAACCGTGTACGACCCCTGATGTTCATAGAGAGTTGATTCAAAACTTTCCCCACATTCAGGACCAGAAAATGTCTTCTCCCCCTGAATTCCGGCACCATCCCCCACAGGACGAGGTCGCTCAGAGTCAGAGGGATTCCATGGTCTCTCCACACTGTGACGTCCTCCATCCATAGCTGAGCTCATTGTCTCTTCTCCCGCACAATCTGCTGTGATGTCCTCATCTTCCATCTTACAACCTGGAGATAAAGTCAGACGATCCTTTGAGGGTTCCTCCATGGCGTGTCCTGGAAACATAGAAACACATGATGGAGAGATATGAGAGGGTGAGATGACTTCACTCAACATTCCATCTGGATCAGGAGGTCTGAGGGAGCAGATGTTCTATGAGGAGGTCCCAACCAGCTCTTCAGTCAAAGGGCCTCCTCCCAGATCACTTCTACATTGACACAACCTTGTCAGAAGAGGAGGAGCCAATGGGGACTGGGAGGGGCATGCTCTTCACCCAACCACAAGTCTAGGCACTGGGTCATGTGATCTCTGATAAATAGTATAGACTGGCAGTCCCTTTCCCGGATAACAGAAGAATATATTATGACCCACCTGGGCTGGTCTGTGTAGGAGTGTCCTCCTCTATGGACGTCCTCATCATCCCGGCCTCCTCCGTATATCGCTGATCATCCCTCACATACGTCTCTTCTACTTCACCCTCAACTTTCATCTTCATCAGATCTTCACCCTAAACCAACAGAACGGCAGAAAGTCTCATCTGTGACATAGAAGTATTTATGATGTGACATCACATAGAAGATCTCATCTTGTAGAGTCCACACGTCATCTCCACATGTCAGAGCGTTACATCACTTTATGTTCCCGCCCCTCAACTCCACCCACCTGATCATGGCGGGGCACGGTGAGATCTTCCTGGGTGGGATCCTGGGTATACAGAGGGCGGGGACATCTCTCATGGTGGGGGATGGTGAGATCTTCCTGGGTGGAATCCCGGGAATACAGAGGACGGGGACATCTCTCTAGTGGCTTCCTGTTGTTAGGTTGTGCCATCATATCCTTGTGTCCTTCCGAAAGCTCCTCCATCACCCCGTACTCCACATCCTCCTCTTTATATTCTTCTTTGACAACAATAATATAATCTCCACGGTTTTCACTCTAAAGATGTAACAAAACATTAATTTTAATAAACATGGTTGTGTGTAAATCATAATTGATCATCATCTACCTGATCATGGTGGGGGACGGTGAGATCTTCCTGGGTGGAGTCCCGGGAATACAGGGGGCGGGGACATCTCTCTGGTGGGTTCCTCTTACTGGATCCATCTGTAGGAAACACGCACACTGACTGAATACTTTGTTTCTATGTGTGTATCAGATGATGGGGGATGTAGGCGGAGCCTCCGTACTGCTCTCTCCTCTTACCCGGTGATGTGAGGGGCGGGGCATTCTCCATCACCACGTCCTTGTAGAGATCCCGGTGTCCTTCTAGACACTCCCACTCCTCCTTGCTGGATAAGCTCTTATAATTACCGGCACCATTGACCTCTCCCGTCAGCAGCTCAATAATCTTCTTGGTGACTTCTAGAATCTTCCCCATGTTGGGTCTCTTCGGGGTCAGGGAGTGAGGTGGAGGCACGGTGATGGTCAGATGGTCACCGGACTTCACAGGCAAACTCTGTATAGAAACACCGACAATATCATAGGACGTTCCCAGAATCCTCCTCACCTCTCCGGTCAGGTCTGCGTATTATGAATAGAGATAAAAGTGATGTCATGTGACCTCCCCCCCTCGGAACCCTCCTCACCTCTCCGGTCAGCAGGTAGATGATCTCCAGGGTGAGGTTTAGTATCCTCTCGGTCATGTGACTCCGGTCCTCCTCCATCCTCATGGATGTGGTCATGTGATCCCTGGAGGTCTCTCTGTAGGAGGATAGGTGAGAATTATCTGGGCTGGTTGTACAATGTTAGGATGGTGATGGCAAATGGAACTTTCGGCACTGATGGCTCTGTACTATTGGCTGGAGAAGGAGACACATTCCTTTTTGCTCGGTCTCTTGGGCCCGGGGAGCCGGTGTCCCATTGGTCTGATTGTGTGATCAGGAATGTCATTATCCAAGGAGCACTAACGGGACCATCTTCCCCCCTCCGTCCTCATTGCTGTGTGATCAGTGGAGGGTCAGTGTGGGCGAGGGGGTTGACTCTCTGTTGAGGTCTGGTGTCCCCGGGTGCAGAGACGTTCACCTCCAGCAGCCACCATTGGAAGACTCTTCATGTACGTGGCTGGGACTTGGGTGCCCTCAGGCCTCAGTATGAGAAGCACCGGATTGTCAGGCCTCAGCAGGGGGACCTTCCCCAATGTAGATGAGATAAGGGCTGGAGTAGTCAGTGGTGGCTAGCCAAGATCATTGTCTGGGAGCCACCATCTCAAAGGGGTGACCAGGGACTAAGTCATTAACAAAGCCAATGTCAGGGCAGGAGGCGTACTAGCAAGGTCAGGTCACACAGCTGGTCAAATCCGAAGTTACCAGCCCACCAATGATACTTGTCCACCCACCATTGAGCACCAATTATACCATCCCAATCTCCATTGAGCAGCAGTGTTACCGGCCCACCCTTCATTGAGCACCAGTGTTACCAGCCCACCCTACATTGAGCACCAATCTTACCAGCCTACCCTTCATTGAGCACCAGTGTTACCGGCCCACCCTTCATTGAGCTCCAGCCCCCCCTTCATTGAGCTCCAGCCCCCCCTTCATTGAGCTCCAGCCCCCCCTTCATTGAGCTCCAGCCCCCCCTTCATTGAGCTCCAGCCCCCCCTTCATTGAGCTCCAGCCCCCCCTTCATTGAGCTCCAGCCCCCCCTTCATTGAGCTCCAGCCCCCCCTTCATTGAGCTCCAGCCCCCCCTTCATTGAGCTCCAGCCCCCCCTTCATTGAGCTCCAGCCCCCCCTTCATTGAGCTCCAGCCCCCCCTTCATTGAGCTCCAGCCCCCCCTTCATTGAGCTCCAGCCCCCCCTTCATTGAGCTCCAGCCCCCCCTTCATTGAGCTCCAGCCCCCCCTTCATTGAGCTCCAGCCCCCCCTTCATTGAGCTCCAGCCCCCCCTTCATTGAGCTCCAGCCCCCCCTTCATTGAGCTCCAGCCCCCCCTTCATTGAGCTCCAGCCCCCCCTTCATTGAGCTCCAGCCCCCCCTTCATTGAGCTCCAGCCCCCCCTTCATTGAGCTCCAGCCCCCCCTTCATTGAGCTCCAGCCCCCCCTTCATTGAGCTCCAGCCCCCCCTTCATTGAGCTCCAGCCCCCCCTTCATTGAGCTCCAGCCCCCCCTTCATTGAGCTCCAGCCCCCCCTTCATTGAGCTCCAGCCCCCCCTTCATTGAGCTCCAGCCCCCCCTTCATTGAGCTCCAGCCCCCCCTTCATTGAGCTCCAGCCCCCCCTTCATTGAGCTCCAGCCCCCCCTTCATTGAGCTCCAGCCCCCCCTTCATTGAGCTCCAGCCCCCCCTTCATTGAGCTCCAGCCCCCCCTTCATTGAGCTCCAGCCCCCCCTTCATTGAGCTCCAGCCCCCCCTTCATTGAGCTCCAGCCCCCCCTTCATTGAGCTCCAGCCCCCCCTTCATTGAGCTCCAGCCCCCCCTTCATTGAGCTCCAGCCCCCCCTTCATTGAGCTCCAGCCCCCCCTTCATTGAGCTCCAGCCCCCCCTTCATTGAGCTCCAGCCCCCCCTTCATTGAGCTCCAGCCCCCCCTTCATTGAGCTCCAGCCCCCCCTTCATTGAGCTCCAGCCCCCCCTTCATTGAGCTCCAGCCCCCCCTTCATTGAGCTCCAGCCCCCCCTTCATTGAGCTCCAGCCCCCCCTTCATTGAGCTCCAGCCCCCCCTTCATTGAGCTCCAGCCCCCCCTTCATTGAGCTCCAGCCCCCCCTTCATTGAGCTCCAGCCCCCCCTTCATTGAGCTCCAGCCCCCCCTTCATTGAGCTCCAGCCCCCCCTTCATTGAGCTCCAGCCCCCCCTTCATTGAGCTCCAGCCCCCCCTTCATTGAGCTCCAGCCCCCCCTTCATTGAGCTCCAGCCCCCCCTTCATTGAGCTCCAGCCCCCCCTTCATTGAGCTCCAGCCCCCCCTTCATTGAGCTCCAGCCCCCCCTTCATTGAGCTCCAGCCCCCCCTTCATTGAGCTCCAGCCCCCCCTTCATTGAGCTCCAGCCCCCCCTTCATTGAGCTCCAGCCCCCCCTTCATTGAGCTCCAGCCCCCCCTTCATTGAGCTCCAGCCCCCCCTTCATTGAGCTCCAGCCCCCCCTTCATTGAGCTCCAGCCCCCCCTTCATTGAGCTCCAGCCCCCCCTTCATTGAGCTCCAGCCCCCCCTTCATTGAGCTCCAGCCCCCCCTTCATTGAGCTCCAGCCCCCCCTTCATTGAGCTCCAGCCCCCCCTTCATTGAGCTCCAGCCCCCCCTTCATTGAGCTCCAGCCCCCCCTTCATTGAGCTCCAGCCCCCCCTTCATTGAGCTCCAGCCCCCCCTTCATTGAGCTCCAGCCCCCCCTTCATTGAGCTCCAGCCCCCCCTTCATTGAGCTCCAGCCCCCCCTTCATTGAGCTCCAGCCCCCCCTTCATTGAGCTCCAGCCCCCCCTTCATTGAGCTCCAGCCCCCCCTTCATTGAGCTCCAGCCCCCCCTTCATTGAGCTCCAGCCCCCCCTTCATTGAGCTCCAGCCCCCCCTTCATTGAGCTCCAGCCCCCCCTTCATTGAGCTCCAGCCCCCCCTTCATTGAGCTCCAGCCCCCCCTTCATTGAGCTCCAGCCCCCCCTTCATTGAGCTCCAGCCCCCCCTTCATTGAGCTCCAGCCCCCCCTTCATTGAGCTCCAGCCCCCCCTTCATTGAGCTCCAGCCCCCCCTTCATTGAGCTCCAGCCCCCCCTTCATTGAGCTCCAGCCCCCCCTTCATTGAGCTCCAGCCCCCCCTTCATTGAGCTCCAGCCCCCCCTTCATTGAGCTCCAGCCCCCCCTTCATTGAGCTCCAGCCCCCCCTTCATTGAGCTCCAGCCCCCCCTTCATTGAGCTCCAGCCCCCCCTTCATTGAGCTCCAGCCCCCCCTTCATTGAGCTCCAGCCCCCCCTTCATTGAGCTCCAGCCCCCCCTTCATTGAGCTCCAGCCCCCCCTTCATTGAGCTCCAGCCCCCCCTTCATTGAGCTCCAGCCCCCCCTTCATTGAGCTCCAGCCCCCCCTTCATTGAGCTCCAGCCCCCCCTTCATTGAGCTCCAGCCCCCCCTTCATTGAGCTCCAGCCCCCCCTTCATTGAGCTCCAGCCCCCCCTTCATTGAGCTCCAGCCCCCCCTTCATTGAGCTCCAGCCCCCCCTTCATTGAGCTCCAGCCCCCCCTTCATTGAGCTCCAGCCCCCCCTTCATTGAGCTCCAGCCCCCCCTTCATTGAGCTCCAGCCCCCCCTTCATTGAGCTCCAGCCCCCCCTTCATTGAGCTCCAGCCCCCCCTTCATTGAGCTCCAGCCCCCCCTTCATTGAGCTCCAGCCCCCCCTTCATTGAGCTCCAGCCCCCCCTTCATTGAGCTCCAGCCCCCCCTTCATTGAGCTCCAGCCCCCCCTTCATTGAGCTCCAGCCCCCCCTTCATTGAGCTCCAGCCCCCCCTTCATTGAGCTCCAGCCCCCCCTTCATTGAGCTCCAGCCCCCCCTTCATTGAGCTCCAGCCCCCCCTTCATTGAGCACCAGCCCACCCTTCATTGAGCACCAATGATACCAGCCCACCCTCCATTGAGCACCGATCTTACCAGCCAAACCTCCATTGAGCACTAATGATACCAGCCCACCCTTCATTGAGCACCGATCTTAACAGCCCTCCCTCCATTGAGCACTGATGTTACCAGCCCAACCTCCATTGAGGACCAATGATATCCGCCCACTCCCCATTGAGCACCAATGTTACCAGCCAAACCTCCATTGAGCACCGATGTTATGCTCCACCTTCCTCCTTACTTTCATCCTCCATCCATTGACCTTCACTGTGGAACCCTACCCGGGGCAACACGGCCTTGCTTCAGAAAGCTTCCTTCAGGGGTCCTCTATATCCCACGCACGTCCACCGAGGCCCCAATCACCCTTATTTGGAGAGCCGTATTCATGGCGGCCTTCAGCAGTCCTCCACAACACAACTTTCCCCGTAGGAATGAATGAGGAACCACAGCGCACACGTGCCGGACAAGGAAGACTTGGAGGGGATGCTTTCAGGAGATGTGCAGCTCCGGATCGCCGGATGGAGCACGGAGGTATCGAAACGTGGAGGACAACCAAAGGTGCCATTGTCCTCTGAACCACCATCCTCCTCACCCAATGAAAGTCGTAGAATACGTGAGCATAGGTCACTGGTGGAAAATGATCCGGCCCCGTAAGTGGAGAAATGTGACCCGAAGCATCATCTCCCGAAGACGTCACAGGGACTATGGAGGACCAAAGAAAACTTGTGGGGGGAGCACTGGGTGTACATATAACATAATATCTTATTACCTCCTCTGCTGCCAGTTCCAGCAATGTCTCCTCTCTACTTCCTCCCAAATAACCACTCACCCGGAACTTCCTATTTATAGGTGACATCACTTCCTGTCCATTTTGGATAGACTTCCTGTCTGTAGGTGTCATAGAGACCTCCTGTCTGGGTATAGGTGAGATCGCCACCGTGTGGAGCTCAGAGGAACTACAGCCCCGAGAAACCTCTACCGTCCTGAAAACAGCCCCGCGTGGCTTTACAAGTCATGTTAAACCTGGGTGGGTGTGGAGGGTGTCCGGGGCACTGGGGTTGAGATGGAGAATGAGCACTGCAGGGAAGGCCCAGCTCCTTTCCTGAATAAAACACCTAGGGAGCCACCATGGGAGGTGTAGACGACCACGCACCATATGAAAGGTCCATCTTCATCCCCCCGTGTAGACGACCACGCACCATATGAAAGGTCCATCTTCATCCCCCCGTGTAGACGACCACGCACCATATGAAAGGTCCATCTTCATCCCCCCGTGTAGACGACCACGCACCATATGAAAGGTCCATCTTCATCCCCCCGTGTAGACGACCACGCACCATATGAAAGGTCCATCTTCATCCCCCCGTGTAGACGACCACGCACCATATGAAAGGTCCATCTTCATCCCCCCGTGTAGACGACCACGCACCATATGAAAGGTCCATCTTCATCCCCCCGTGTAGACGACCACGCACCATATGAAAGGTCCATCTTCATCCCCCCGTGTAGACGACCACGCACCATATGAAAGGTCCATCTTCATCCCCCCGTGTAGACGACCACGCACCATATGAAAGGTCCATCTTCATCCCCCCGTGTAGACGACCACGCACCATATGAAAGGTCCATCTTCATCCCCCCGTGTAGACGACCACGCACCATATGAAAGGTCCATCTTCATCCCCCCGTGTAGACGACCACGCACCATATGAAAGGTCCATCTTCATCCCCCCGTGTAGACGACCACGCACCATATGAAAGGTCCATCTTCATCCCCCCGTGTAGACGACCACGCACCATATGAAAGGTCCATCTTCATCCCCCCGTGTAGACGACCACGCACCATATGAAAGGTCCATCTTCATCCCCCCGTGTAGACGACCACGCACCATATGAAAGGTCCATCTTCATCCCCCCGTGTAGACGACCACGCACCATATGAAAGGTCCATCTTCATCCCCCCGTGTAGACGACCACGCACCATATGAAAGGTCCATCTTCATCCCCCCGTGTAGACGACCACGCACCATATGAAAGGTCCATCTTCATCCCCCCGTGTAGACGACCACGCACCATATGAAAGGTCCATCTTCATCCCCCCGTGTAGACGACCACGCACCATATGAAAGGTCCATCTTCATCCCCCCGTGTAGACGACCACGCACCATATGAAAGGTCCATCTTCATCCCCCCGTGTAGACGACCACGCACCATATGAAAGGTCCATCTTCATCCCCCCGTGTAGACGACCACGCACCATATGAAAGGTCCATCTTCATCCCCCCGTGTAGACGACCACGCACCATATGAAAGGTCCATCTTCATCCCCCCGTGTAGACGACCACGCACCATATGAAAGGTCCATCTTCATCCCCCCGTGTAGACGACCACGCACCATATGAAAGGTCCATCTTCATCCCCCCGTGTAGACGACCACGCACCATATGAAAGGTCCATCTTCATCCCCCCGTGTAGACGACCACGCACCATATGAAAGGTCCATCTTCATCCCCCCGTGTAGACGACCACGCACCATATGAAAGGTCCATCTTCATCCCCCCGTGTAGACGACCACGCACCATATGAAAGGTCCATCTTCATCCCCCCGTGTAGACGACCACGCACCATATGAAAGGTCCATCTTCATCCCCCCGTGTAGACGACCACGCACCATATGAAAGGTCCATCTTCATAGAGCACTGCAGGGAAGGCCCAGCTCCTTTCCTGAATAAAACACCTAGGGAGCCACCATGGGAGGTGTAGACGACCACGCACCATATGAAAGGTCCATCTTCATCCCCCCGTGTAGACGACCACGCGCCATATGAAAGGTCCATCTTCATCCCCCCCGTGTAGCCTCCCTGCCTTAAGCAGGACGGTCTATTTAGATTTGGAGGCTGCCGGGCTGTAGTCCATCTGATTCCGATTGATAGCTCGGCTTTCCGATGTTCCTCCTAAGCTCTGGGGATTGTTTGCGTCTGCCTGCTGCTGGGCAGTTTCTCTTGGAATAGTGCGGCAGGATACACGAATCAGAACGTTTGTACCTCCCTGGCCAACCACTAGGAGGTATGTTGGGAGAGACCATGGGAAGACAATCTTTCCCCTGGGAGGGATGCTGATGAATGTTGGATCCTCCTAGGCCTGCTGCCTGAGGGAGGGATGTTGATGATTGCTGGATCCTCCTAGGCCTGCTGCCTGGGAACGGGATGTTGATGATTGCTGGATCCTCCTAGGCCTGCTGATGATTGCTGGATCCTCCTAGGCCTGCTGATGATTGTTGGATCCTCCTAGGCCTGCTGCCTGTGGTGGGTGACCATGTGCTGAGACCGAGGCCTGGGACATAGGCCTAGTGAGTGAAGCCATGGAGAAACCTCAGTAGACCTAAGGAGCCTGAGAAGTTGGCCCCCGGTGTGTTTGTTCAATGGACTGGAAGCTGCGGGATTTTCCTCCTCGTCATATTTGTCCCTTATATGTTCTTAAGTCTTTGGTTGCTGGCCGTGTATAATACATGGAAGAGAAGAAGCAGAAGGTCCATCACTAAGGTCCCGTGAGTCTCACATGGAGGAGCAGTCCATGTTCTGCTCATCATTACCTCACTCCTATGGAGGAACTTCTCATCGGGGATCCACGACTGTCAGTCAACCCCAAATGTGACCCATCTACTCATGTCCTCCAGAACTTGGTCAGCATGGAGACAACCCAACAGAGCCAAGGTAAAAAAAAAAAAAAAACTTCGACCTGCAAAGAATAATCTGAACTATTGTTGTTTCTCACTAAAAAAAACAAAACTTTATTGAAATATTTGCATGTCTTGTCGGAAAATGTCATATTGACCACTTTCGGGCCTCTCCAAGCAAATGCAGCTGCCTGGGCAGGCTCATGGCATGACTGGGGCACTGAATAGTCACTGGTTGGCGTGCAGGCTGATCTCTTCGGGCTCTTCATCCACCAGCTGTGCTCACCAAGCCTGTCCTAAAAAGCAGGGGAGATCAGACTACACTACACGAGGGACTAATCTAGTAGTGACATGACCCCTCCCCCTCTGTTCAAGCAAAGTAAGACAGACGCAGCTTTGTGTACTCGGATTTCCCTACAAAGTGTTTCTTCCAGTACGAAGTTTAGAGGAGAGCTCGGCCACTACGGCTCCTCAGGGGTTGTGTGGGACCTCTGATGTCTGGAAACATGAGATTTCCGTGTAAAACATTTCCCGCACTCAGGGCAGGCATACGGTCTCTCCTGCGTGTGCACCTTATGATGCCTGTTAAGATGGGCCTGCGTCAAAAAAACTTTCCCGCACTCAAGGCAGGCGAACGACTTCACGCCCTTGTGAATTTTCAAATGGCCGTTAAGATGGTACTTCTCTTTGAAGCATTTCCCACACTCGGCACAGCAATACGGCTTCTCGCTAGTGTGAGTTTTCAGGTGAGTTTGAAGGTGGGACTTCTCTTTGAAACTTTTCCCGCACTCGGAGCAGAAGTAAGGCTTCAGCCCAGTGTGAGATCTTTGATGTCTGACTAGATGCAATTTTCGTAGATAACTTTTCCCGCACTCGGTGCAGGAAAACGGCTTGTCTGGCAAGTGAGATTTTTTATGCGCGATCAGTTCATATTTTACCGGGAAACGTTTCCCGCACTCAGGGCAAGAATGCGGCTTCTCCCCCGTGTGCATTCTCTGATGCCTGAGAAGCTGCGATGTTTGCGAATACGATTTCCCGCACTCGGAGCAGGAGTACGGCTTCTCCCCCGTGTGAGTCCTTTGATGCCGGGTAACTAGTGATTTTGTTGCAAAACGTTTCCCGCATTCAGAGCAGGGGTGCAGCTTCTCCCCCGTGTATCTCTTATGTCCAGGAACAGAAACTTTCTTCTTCCGCTGAATTCCGGCCCCATCCCCCACAGGAAGAGGCCGCTCAGAGTCAGAGGGAGTCCATGGTCTATCCGCACCGTGACGTCCACCATCCATAGCTGAGCTCATTGTCTCTTCTCCCGCACAATCTGCTGTGATGTCCTCATCTTCCATCTTACAACCTGGAGATAAAGTCAGAGGATCCTTTGAGGGTTCCTCCATGGCGTGTCCTGGAAACATAGAGACACATGATGGAGAGATATGAGAGGGTTAGATGACTTCACTCAACATTCCATCTGGATCAGGAGGTCTGAGGGAGCAGATGTTCTATGAGGAGGTCCCAACCAGCCGGGACTCCTCCCCTCTTCCGTCAACATTCCATCTGGATCAGGAGGTCTGAGGGAGCAGATGTTCCTTGAGGAGGTCCCAACCACCCGGGACTCCTCCCCTCTTCACTCAACATTCCATCTGGATCAGGAGGTCTGAGGGAGCAGATGTTCTATGAGGAGGTCCCAACCAGCCGGGACTCCTCCCCCTCTTCAGTCAACATTCCATCTGGATCAGGAGGTCTGAGGGAGCAGATGTTCCTTGAGGAGGTCCCAACCACCCGGGACTCCTCCCCTCTTCACTCAACATTCCATCTGGATCAGGAGGTCTAAGGGAGCAGATGTTGTATGAGGAGGTCCCGACCAGCTGTACAAGGAGGTCACCCCTATGACTGGCTGATATCACTTTGCTCTGCCCTCCTCTGGACCAATCAGTGTGTAGGAACAGAGAAGAATATATTGTGACCCACCTGGGCTGGTCTCTGTAGGCGTGTCCTCCTCTATGGATGTCCTCATCATCCCGGCCTCCTCCGTATATCGCTGATCATCCCTCACATACGTCTCTTCTACTTCACCCTCAACTTTCATCTTCATCAGATCTTCACCCTAAACCAACAGAACGGCAGAAAGTCTCATCTGTGACATAGAAGTATTTATGATGTGACATCACATAGAAGATCTCATCTTGTAGAGTCCACACGTCATCTCCACATGTCAGAGCGTTCCATCACTTTATGTTCCCGCCCCTCAACTCCACCCACCTGATCATGGAGGGGGACGGTGAGATCTTCCTGGGTGGGATCCCGGGAATACAGGGGGCGGGGACATCTCTCTGGTGGGTTCCTCTTACTGGATCCATCTGTAGGAAACACACACACTGACTGAATACATTGTTTCTATGTGTGTATCAGATGATGGGGGATGTAGGCGGAGCCTCCGTACTGCTCTCTCCTCTTACCCGGTGATGTGAGGGGCGGGGCATTCTCCATCACCACGTCCTTGTAGAGATCCCGGTGTCCTTCTAGATACTCCCACTCCTCCATGGAGAGATAGACAGAGACATCCTGACACCTTATAGGAACCTGACACACACAATGATACCGTCACCACCCAGACACGCCCCTTGTCTGTTCCTGGATCATGTCCCAGAATCCCCGGCACCGCTCACCTCTCCCGTCAGCAGCTCCATCATCTTCTTGGTGACTTCTAGAATCTTCTCCATGTCGGGTCTCTCGGGTTTTAGGGAGTCACATGGGGGTGCTGCGATGGTCACATGATCACCAGACTTCAGAAGAGGAAAACTCTGGATTAAAACACGGAGAGTAATATATGAATTTGCCGTTATCCTCCAAATGTCTTCTACCAGGTCTAGGTTTTGACTAACTCCAAGCATACATAAAGTAATTACCACCCCCCCCCCAGAACCCTCCTCACCTCTCCGGTCAGCAGGTAGATGATCTCCAGGGTGAACTCTAGTATGCCCTCAGTCATGTGACTCCGGTCCTCCTCCATCCTTTATTGACGTGGTCATGTGACCTATGGAGGTTCCTATGTAGATGGATAAGATGGTTGAGTCTCTGTTGACCTTTGGTGTCCATAGGTGCTGTACCATTCACCTGTAGCAGCCACCATTTGAAGACTCTTTATGTATATTGCTGGTATTGTTACCAGCCCACCATTGAGCACCAATGTTACCAGCCCACCATTCATGGACCACCGATGTCACCAGCCCACCATTCATGGACCACCGATGTCACCAGCCCACCATTCATGGACCACCGATGTTACCAGCCCACCATTCATGGACCACCGATGTTACCAGCCCACCATTCATGGACCACCAATGTTACCAGCCCACCCTTCATGGACCACCAATGTCACCAGCCCACCATTCATGGACCACCGATGTTACCAGCCCACCATTCATGGACCACCAATGTCACCAGCCCACCATTTATGGACCACCAATGTCACCAGCCCACCATTCATGGACCACCGCTGTTACCGGCCCACCATTCATTGAGCACCGATGTTTTGCTCCATCCACCTCCTTTAAGGCTTCTCCCCCCGAATGTAGCCCTCCTTGTCCGATACTTACTTTCATCCTCCATCCATTGATCTTCACTGTAGGCCTTGCTTCAGAAACCTTCCATGTGGGGTTCCTCTTGGACTTGAGCTTCAGTATCAGAATCGCTGGATTCAGAGCTCAGCAGGAGGCCTACACACGCCCACCGAGGCCCCATTCATTCTTCTTGGGAGAGCCGTGTTCATGGCGGCCTTCATCAGTCCTCCGCAGTACGACTTCCCCCCGTAGGAATGAATGAGGGGCCTCAGCGCACACGTGCCGGACAAGGAAGACCCGGAGGGGATGCTTTCAGAAGATGTGCAGCTCCGGATCGCCGGATGGATCACGGAGGTATCGAAACGTAGAGGACAACCAAAGGTGCAATTGTCCTCTCAACCACCATCCTCCTCACCCAATGAAGTCGGAGAACACGTGAGGATAGGTCATTGGTGGAAAAGCAACATGAATGAAGAAGATATTTCGACCCTGCAAGTAGGGAAATGTTCTGACCCTGAAGGGGGTAATATACGTTTCCACAGTGACTACGGAGGACGAGGACGGACATGACGGGGGGGAGGGGGGGTTACTGGGTGTACATATAAAATAATATCTTATTACCTCCTCTGCTGCCAGTTCCAGCAATGTCTCAGCTCTTCTTGTCTCCCCCCCCCCCGACTCACCTCTCACTTCTTATTTATAGGTGACCACTTCCTGCCCACTTTCCATAGAGACTTCCTGTCTGGGTATAGGTGAGATCGCCACCTTGTGGAGATCAGAAGAACTTTACAAGCCATGCTAAACTTGGATAGCTGTGGAGGGTGTCTGGGGTTGAGATGGAGAATGAACACGACATGGAAGGCCCAGCTTCTTTCCTGACCCACCATGGGAGGTGTAGATGACCACGCGCCATATGAAAGGTCCATCTTCATCCCCCCCGTGTAGCCTCCCTGCCTTAAGCAGGACGGTCTATTTAGATTTGGAGGCTGCCGGGCTGTAGTCCATCTGATTCCGATTGATAGCTCGGCTTTCCGATGTTCCTCCTAAGCTCCGGTGACTGTTTGCTTCTGGGGAGTTTCAATGGCAATAGTGCGGGAGGATACACGATTCAGAACGTTTGTACCTCCCTGGCCAACCACTAGGAGGTATGTTGGGAGTGACCATGGGAAGTCCCTGGGCTTCTACCCGAAGGAGGAATGCTGATTATTGTTGGATCCTCCTAGGCCTGATGCCTGTGGTGGGTGACCATGTGCTAAGACCGAGGCCTGGGACATAGGCCTAGTGAGTGAAGCTTAGAGATGGAGAAACCATGGAGGAACTTCGGTAGGCCTAAGGAGCCTGGGGGAGTTGGCCCTTTACTGAAGTGTGGGGAGTTTCTCTGGCAATAGGAGGATACACAAATCCAAGTTAGGAATGTTTGTACCTCTTTGGCCAACCACTAGGAGGTTTGTTGCCAGTGGTGCATGCTGGAGAGGGTATAAATATTCAAGAGTGACCATAGGAAGTCAGTCTTACCCCTGGGCTTCTGCCAGAGGGAGGCACGCTATGGACTGTTGGATCCTCCTAGGCCTGCTGCCTGAGCAGGGTGACCATGCTCTGAGTTTGAGGCCTGGGACACGGGCCTAGTGGGTGAAGCTTGGAGATGGAAGAACTTCATTAGGTATAGGGAGCCTGAGAAGTTGGCCCTTTACTGATTCATCTTCAATGGACTGGTGGTTGCAACATCTAGTATCTTCCAGCCAGGAGCTAAACTTTCCAGACTGCTAGGTTGGCGTAAAGGTTATCTATCTGTGAAGGCTGCAAGTACTATGTTCCCTCCATCCAACAGCGTGGGTGTCCGGTGCCCTATCCCTCATGATCACAGTTGTGTAATAAAGGTTCAACAAGTAGAAGACCACAAGCGTGGAAGTCAGTGAATCGGTCGCCACTGGTGCACCTTTTGGGGCAGAAACGGAACCGATTCATCCAGCGGCACCTTCGGAGGCCCACCACCCCTACTTGAAATAGACTATAGTGCCAAAAGTATTGGGACGCCTTTACACGCACATGAACTCTAGTGGCCCCCAGTCTTAGTCCGTAGGGTTCAGTATTGGGTTGGCTCCGCCCTCTAATGGCCCCCCAGTCTTAGTCCGTAGGGCTCAGTATTGGGTTGGCTCCCCCCTCTAATGGCATCCCAGTCTTAGTCCGTAGGGTTCAGTATTGAGTTGGCTCTGCCCTTTGCGCTATAACAGCTCCGCCTCTTCTGGGAAGGCGTCCACAAGGTTTAGGGGTGTTTCTATGGGAATGTCGGACCATTTGTGAGGTCAGGTACTGATGTTGGGGGAGGGGCTCGCAGTCTCCGCCTCTAATTCATCCCAAAGGTGTTCTATGGGGTTGAGGTCAGGACTCTGTGCGGCCAGTCACGTTCCTCCCCCCCAAAACTCCCCCATCCATGTCTTTATGGACCTTGCTTTGTGCACTGGTGCGCAGTCATGTTGGAACAGGAAGGGGCCGTCCCCAAACTCCTCCCACAAAGTTGGGAGCATGAAATTGTCCAAAATGTCTTGGTGTGCTGATGCCTTAAGAGTTCCCTTCACTGGAACTAAGGGGCGGAGCCCAACCCCCCGAAAAACAACCCCTCCCCCATAATCCCCCCTCCACAAAACTTTACACTTGGCACAATGCAGTCAGGCAAGTACCGTTCCCCCGGCAACCGCCAAACCCAGACACGCCCATCGGATTGCCAGACAGAGAAGCGTGATTGGTCCCTCCAGAGACCACGCCTCCTCTTCTCTAGAGTCCAGTGGCGGCGTGCTTTACACCGCGGCATCCCACGCTTTGCATTGCACTTGATGTGCGGCTTGGATGCAGCTGCTCCGCCCCCATTCCATGAAGCTCTCTACGCACTGCTGTTGCGCCAATCTAGCCACCAACCAACCCCCCCTCCCCCGATTTCACACCAGGTCATGAGTCCAGCATTTGGTTCCACACCTGAACGAAGTTATGGAAGCGTCCACGATGCGAGGTGTCCTCGGACGATCTTGTGATGGAGGAGTTCCCGGGTGGAATGATATGCGGCTCTATGAGCTGATCACCTTATCATTGGAGTATACTACAGGCCCCGCCCCCCTTCCCCTGTGATTTGAGGAGGAGAGTCGGCTCCTTCAAGCTGGTAAAACAAAAGTCGAGACACATGAAAAGAAAAAAAACCGTTTAATACAAATCTGGAGGCTGACGTATCGAATTACAAAGAATAAAATGATTGTTATTAGTTCTCTTCACTTGTTTGACACTTTGTTATTATGTTTGAAGTCTTTTCATCAAGTAAAATGCTCCATCTAAAAATGTGTGTTCCACTTTCCTCCAGCAGGGGGCTCTCCGAGTCAACGGAGCCGCCTGTGAAAACCGATCACTACTGCGGTGACGTGGCCAAGTCCTGTCGTGTAGTCTGATCTCCCCTTCTCTTCATCCACAAGCTCCTCCCTCACCATGATGTCTTTCCTGGGAAGGGGAGATCAGACTACACCGCTAGAACGACTCAACCAGCAGTGGCACGCCCCTCCCCCTCTCCGATTAGAGTCAGCCAGATGAAAGTTTCTCACCCCTGGTTTGCACGGGAAGTGTTTCTTACCCTATGAACCTCAGTAGGGCGCTCAACCATGTGGTTTCTGAGGTGGAGGTGTCCTCTTGATATGAAACATTTCCCATAACACCGATACGTCTCGTGAACTCCGACACGGGACAACATTTCATTCGAGTAGCATACCTTTCCCACACGCTATTTTGCACTGAGGGCCGTGTGGGATCTCAGGTGTCTGGAAAGGTCTGAAGGAAGAGGAAGCAGAGGAAGCCCAGACACAACTTTGAAGTCTTTAGTCGACTATGATGTCCTTACAAAGATCAGAGGAGAGCTCGGCCGCGTGTTTCCTGAGGTGTGCATCAAGGTGGGCTTCTTCCCAGATCTCTGATGATTCATACAGAAGACATTTCCCGCACTTGTGACACCGATGCGCCTTGGGTCGTGTGGGTTGCCTGATGTTTGATAAGAGAGGCCTTCTGCGAAAAACATTTCCCGCACTCGGAGCAGGAAAACGGCCTCTTGCGGGTGTGGGTTATCTGATGTCTGTAAAGCTGGTTCTTCTGCGAAAAGGTTTTTCCGCACTCGGCACAGGTATACAGCTGTTCCCCCGTGTGGGTTATCTGATGTCGGTAAAGGTGGGACTTCTCTGTAAAGCTTTTCCCGCAGTCGGAGCAGGAAAACAGCTTCTCCCCCGTGTGGGTTTGCTGATGAGCGTTGAGGTTGGACTCGCTTAAAAAACATTTCCCGCACTCGGAGCAGGAATACGGCTTCTCTCCGGTGTGAGACATGTGATGTTTTACTAGTTGGGACTTTCGAGCGTAACATTTCCCGCACTCGGGGCAGGCAAACGGCTTCTCGCCCGTGTGAGTTCTCTGATGCCTATAAAGATGGGACTTCTCTAAAAAGCTTTTCCCGCAATCAGAGCAGGAATGAGGCTTCTCACCCGTGTGAGTTTTCTGATGTCTGTAAAGATGGGACTCACTTAGGAAACACTTCCCGCAGTCAGGGCAGGTATGCGGCATCTCCCCCGAGTGAGATATTTGATGTCTGACTAGCTGCGCTTTTCGTGGATAACATTTCCCGCACTCAGGGCAGACATACGGCCTCTCCCCTGTGTGAGATCTTAGATGTGCGACTAGTTCGTATTTCACAGGGTAACATTTCCCGCACTCGGGGCAAGAATATGGCTTCTCCCCCGTGTGAGATCTTTGATGCCTGACAAGTTGAGATGTCTGCGAATAGGATTTCCCGCACTGAGAGCAGGAATACGGCTTCTCCCCCGTGTGAGACCTTTGATGTCGGACAACTAGCGATCTGGTTGAAAAACATTTCCCGCAGTCGGGGCAGGGATGAGGCTTCTCAACCGTGTAGGACTTCTGATGTTCGGAACCGGATAATTTCTTCTTCCTCTGAATCCTGGCACCTTTCTTCGCGGCACGCGGTCGGTCAGAATCGGAGGGATTCGATGGTCTATCCGCGCTGTGAAGCCCACCAAAATCACTTGTGATGTCCTCATCTTCAAGTTTACAATCTGGAGATAAAGAGAGACGATTCGTTGAGGGTTTTTCGGTGGGCGCGTCACGGAAAAATTATGGAATTGTTGTACTTACCGTAAAATCCACGTCTTGGAGTCTATTGAGGGACACAGGAAGTCAGATACAGTTGGGTTGTCCAAAGGGAGTCCAACTAAGGGTTGTGGAAGCCGGCAGAGGACCATCAACAGACCTCTCGCGGTGTGGGGACTGTCTGTAGGGTAAGAGGAGGCTGAAGGACCAACGCCCAAATCTGAATGAATGAGGTGGCACCTCGTACTAGAAAACCTGCCAACACGACCGGAAGGGACACCATGGATGGAGGATCAACCCAAAGTTCTAGACCAAGAGGTAAAAGGTCACCTCCATTGGGGAATGACACCACTTGGAAGTCAAATCGGAACCCAAGCCACTAAGATGGAACCAAGATCAACCAAACAAACCCCACCCCGCGGAACAGGTCCTGAGGGAGGCTACCATAAAAAAAACCAGGCCAGGCAAGAACTACTGACCAATCTACATGAGTAAGGCCTACCATCCCCAACCCAAAGTGTCAAGGGGACAAAACTAGGTGACTATAGGAGGTTGCCAGCAAGAGAACCAACCTTGGCATGGAGGCATACCAGAAAATGTGCAGTACTAGAGCAACCCGACATCTCACAAGGGGCGGGAAGGGCCTCCTAAGCCCACTAGAGAGCCCAGGGCTTCCATACCACAAGGGCGTGAAGAGCCTCCTAATCCCACTAGAGAACCAAGAGCTTCCATCCCACAAGGGCGTAAAGAGCCTCCTAAGCCCACTAGAGAACCCAGGGCTTCCATCCCACAAGTGCGTAAAAGAGCCTCCTAAGCCCACTAGAGAACCCAGAGCTTCCATCCCACAAGGGCGTGAAGAGCCTCCTAAGCCTACTAGAGAACCCAGAGCTTCCATGCCACAAGGGTGTGAAGAGCCTCCTAAGACCACTAGAGAACCCAGAGCTTCTATGCCACAAGGGTGTGAAGAGCCTCCTAAGACCACTAGAGAACCCAGAGCTTCTATGCCACAAGGGCATGAAGAGCCTCCTAGAGAACCCAGGGCTTCCATCCCACAAAGGAAGAAGGTCCAAGGAAGGTGCTGCCACAAGAGTGGGCAGGAACAAACATTATGCCTTAACCCCACAACTGGTGGACCACCAAAAGAATGAGAACTAAAACATCTTCTCCGACTTGGTGAGACCGGGGTCTACAGAAGAACGTGGTGGAGTCTGCCTAACCCTGTCTCCTGATTCCTCCAGGGCCATCGAAGCTTCAGCAGCCTTTTAGCCGAAATGTTAAGAGCAGTTGCCGGATTTGGGCAGGACAAGGAGAGGAATCTGGAGGACCTTCTACGGGAGGCTGAGCAGTTACCTGATTAGGGCAGGACAAGGAGAGGAATCTGGAGGACCTTCTACAGAATCATCCAGTCCAGTGTGGTCCAGCAATGGCCTCCAAAGCTAGGCTGAGGAAAAGCCAACTTGGATAGCGGCCATGTTGAGACCAGATCAGCAGCAGCGTAGTAAAGGATCTTGATTGGAGTCAACGGCGGCGGTATAAACCGTCTGTATCTGAATTCCGGTGTCCCTCGATGGACGAGAAATTAATACATCAATATTATCAAAAACTTTGAGTGGATTAGTTCACCGAAACTAGGTGAGCAGATATTCTCTGGGGGTGTCCCAACCAGCTCGTCCCCATTTTACATGAGCTTGTAAAACAGGTCAATCAGGGTTCAGATTTCTGGACCCCCCCC